GTGGTTAAGGGGGCGGACTTAAGATCCCCTGGTCGTAAAGACCGCGTGGGTTCGAACCCCACTCCGTGCAGAATCTGTTTATATATTTATTTTGACTTGTTGTTTTACTTTTGCAAATGCCGTTCTTGTTTATGTTACTTTTGTTTATTTCTAAGGCTACTGCTCTCATTAAAGCATTACTCTCCTCAGTATCTCCGCTATGCTTCATGCAACCGTTCCGCACTATTCTATTATAACTTTGTTTTCTGTTTCTAAGAAAAAAAATCGGTAAGTCCACAGTAAAAAGTGACAGTGAGGCCTTCTCACTTCCGCAACAACATGAAAAGCAAAGAGAGGTCTGCATTTATAAAGAGGAGGAAGATAGAACTGTTCAACTTGAATCAGCTTTCCGAAGCATTGAAAACGAGGAAAAAAGAAAGCAAATGTTACAGCAACTCGCTGCGCTTTCTAGTCCTTTAACGTCCGTACGAATCAACGCCTCCTTCCTCATCTCCCCCAGATTTTTGTTTTTCTTTTTGCAAGTCCCCTAGTGGCCGCTCAGCCAACTCCAGCCGGCGAGTTACCTCTTCCTGTAAATATAAGCACAGGTAGTGTGCAAATACCAATGAGGCTTCAGTGTGAATAAAACCCTGAATACAAATCTACTTACAAATGTAAAGTCCAAACATTTACACGTATAGTGCAGGCTGAGTGAATGATCCCCGTTTAAGTCCTATTCAGCTATCACTAGCATACGCGGAATAAACAGAGGTAAACAACAAATATTATTATGCTATCAACTGTACGATAAATCAGACAATAATGACAGATGGAAACAACAAAGAAACTAAAGCTGCAAAACAGAACGGCATGAAAAAGCAATTCCGAAGCAAGAGTCACATCCTGCACCACCAATATGTTTTGATCATGAATGTACTTTTTTTCTCATAAAAAGAAAAATAAAAAACAGCAGTGGTGTTGTTGCACGACGCATGAAGAAACAATCAACTTTGTGTGTACATACAACCCACAATTAACACTACCCAACTAAAAGGAAAAAAAATAGCGAGCATGTTCAAATATATAGACAAACATAACCGCATCAACGGTTGAGGGTTTAGGGTTTACGGTCTGCTGCCAGAGATACCTACCTCAAGAAAATCGCAGACGCTTTCTGAGCACAAGACAAACTCCCCGCTTAATACTTCAATGACGAATCCACGGGTTTCGTTCAGCTGCAAGAGGATTTCCATGGTTGGTGGATCGCTGAGGCAAAAGAAAATGATTGAAAACACCAACTAAATTAAACCATCGGCTGGTGCATACGCCTGCACTGTATGCACACCCCAGCCTCTCTGTTGCATAGACAATGACTCCTTGTGTAATCCCCTTAAAGAGAACACATATTTGAATTGAAACCACAAAAGCTTGAGCGCAGTGTATAGCCAGCTGCCATTACGCGTTCAGTGTTACAAGTATGGGGGGAAGAAAGCGAGTTGTTAGAGTGGTCTAAGCTATGGAGAGTTCAACAGCTGCACAAGAGGCAGCTGAATATGAATTGTGGCTGTCACCCAGATGCAAATATTGGGGTTTGGTGACTTCTATAGAAACCCTGAAGTCTATACCCTAGACGCTCACTCACCACTGCACGACAATTCCTTTGATTGCGACCACCATCTTGAGCTGCTCTTCAATAAATACTGGAGTTTCCCTCTTTTGAAAGATCTATGAGAAGATGGAAGAGTTGCTATGGTCGGTAACAGCACGCCTAGCAGCAGCAGCGGTGGCGGGGGCTGTTGAGTTGGCCGCTAGCAACAATATGTACTCAAAACTGCGGAATACAGCAGAGAAAGGTCACTTCGGTACTGAATTTATCCGCACGAAAGCTCGAAAGAAATACAAAGAGGATGAGTATTGTACTAGTCTAGCTTGTTTGCATGCACGGAAACCGGAATGCAGGGCAGCAGAACTTCGTTGCTGCCCCTCCTCTCTATGCATTTAAAACGACATTCATGAGATTATATTTCAATTAAATTGTTGCAAAGTGCTGAAGCAGAAGGATTGACACTCCTAAACACGTCGCTTGCCTGCGTCAGCTGCCTCAGTCCAGCCCTGAAGGACTTGAATTGCTGCCGATGGTGTCTTTCTTACTATTGCAAACTGTGTTGAGCGTTTTATTAAATTGTTTCTATAATTAAAAACTCGAAAACTTCATAGTGAAATTTAGTTTTGCTTTCTTTTCGGTTTCCCTCGTATTCAAGTATATAAACTCCGAGGTGCCCCGTGCTGGGGTGTTTCAGTGGGCAGCCATGTGAGTATAGTTGAAACATGCTATTAACTATAGCTTTCAGCATATTTAGGATATTTAACCCCTTTACTGAAAGAGAAGGCTAAGAAAGCTAGCTAGTTTATGCATCCCAATGACATCCCCCACAACCGTCCGAACCCCCCTCTTCAGCAGTGTGTCAGTGTGCGTCTTGTTTCTTCTTTTCGTTTCGTTCCCAAGGAAGCAGAAGGTGAATGCGTTTTTAGATTCAAATGCATTGTCTAAATTCTACGTTTCTGAGTGAAGCGGCGATATATACGAGGCGCTACTTGCTGGCGACTGACTGACGGCAGGTGTCAGGAGGGGTGCAGAGCGTCAGTTGCACTGACGTGGGTAACCTGTGTAGAACAAGAGTAAATAACTCTGCAGTAATCAACAGTTCAGTTGTCTTCATAATCCCCAATGCCTCCCTCACCAATAGCAAATACAGCTTCTCCTTCGGGTAGGCTGGGGCTATCGTAGATTTTGCATATGCGGCTTTCCCCCTTTCCCTTGCGTAGGTAGAGCCGCGTTTGGCTTGCATGTGCCATGATATTACCCCCTATAGGGAGTTTTTCGTTGCTGTTGAATAGAGAAGGGCCGTTGTCTACCTTGGCAACAACTTGGTTGCTTACAACCACAGCTACACCATAAGTGTCTGCAATTCGCTGCAAACAACGCAAGAAACGACATAAATGCATTTGTCTACTCGCCAACTCTCCACGGCCCGCAAACTCAGAGCGGTATAAACCCGTAGCACTGTCAACAATCAACAAAGCAAAGCGAGACTCCGCCATCATCGCTCCTGCCTGCGTCAGCAGCTCCAGCTGGTGATCTGCAACACACGCACAGCCACAAAGACGATACAACTAACATACTGAATATACACTTTCCTTTACCCTTATATCTCACCCCCCAAACAAACTACACGTCTATGCAAACAAAGGAGAAGCAGCACCACCACATAAGCTAAGCAAGTAGCTAGAGGGCTAGCTTGTTCATGTTACTACTCACCGCAGTTGTAGGCTCTGGCGTAGGCTATATTATCCAGGCAATCGCTTGGATCTAAGCCAAATCTTTTAGCAATAGAGACAATACGTTCGGGTCTGAAGGTTCCTTCTGTATCAATCCATAAACATTTTCCTTCGCCTCCACTCTGCTCAACTGGCAACTGACAGGATACCTGCAACCATACAAACAGATACGCAAACTCCTCTCTATCAACACCCCAGCTCAAACAACACCAAACAAACAAAACCGATATACATTATAAATAAATAAATAAATAAATGTATATATATATATATATATATATATATATATATATATATATATATATATATATATATATATATATATAGTGTTTTGCTTACGGCAAGTGTATGACAGAGTTGTGTTTTTCCTGTTCTGAATTCCCCAAAGAGTTCAGTTAAGTTACCAGTTTCGATACCCCCCTTAAGCAGCGCATCGAGCTGCACGCTGCCTGTAGTGAATTTGATGAGGTTAGCTCTGGCCTCAAGATATTCTTGGGCTGAACAGAAACCCAAACTACATAGCTCCTTGCTGACTTGTTTTAACTTTGCTGCCTTCTGTTCACTTATTCCTTTTATTGCTAGCAGCGTCTTCAGAGGAGCGAAAGCCACGCACTCTACGGTGTGTAAACCGCCTGAAAGAGAAACAAACAAATCAAAAAAAGAAAAAAAAAAAGAAAAGAAAAGATACGCACGAAGCCAGCCCCTTGTGTATGCAAGCACACACACATGTATATAGTATATGAAGGCGTATTGGATGCCTACAACAAGCACTATAAGTATATACAGTGCATGTAATCCTATACGGGTGCAAGTCTGTATGTATTTGTATGCATGTAGCTGCATCATCCGCATGCAGAGAGTTGTTTGAGTAAAACTATAGCCTGTTGAGTTAACGCATACACCCCAATATCCTTTCTTTCTTTCGTTCAATATTCACATAAGTATTTGTGTAAAGCTGCGGTTGTTGAGTGCAAATAATAAATAAGAAAATAATGTAGAAACAATAGACTACAAAGCAGATGCATGCAGACAAATATAGAGATCAGCAACCAATACATGCCAGTTGCCTTCCATTCTCAGGCTCTTTCGGGTTTACGTATAAAGCTAAAACTTTGTTAATCTTTTTTTATAAATTTTAAATATATAGGGTTGAGGGTATCGGTATGAATGCTATTTTTTCAGTGTTGTAAGAGTTTACCTTCTTTTAACAAATCCAAATCTTTTTTAGTCAGCCCCTTGGCTAACAAGTGCTCTAGTTTGAGAGGTCCTGTCTGAAGGTCTTCACCCTGCAGCCGCCGCATGCACCGATACAAAGTATTGAATATTTTAAGTTTTGTTTTAAGTTCTAAGCAGTGCGGATGCAGCTGAAAGGGGCATAAACCAATATCTTTTGCATGCGGTGTACGTACACCACAAGGGCTATTCCCTAAGCTTACCACATCT